ATGTGAGTACCAGGACTGGAACATAGTAGGTGCTCCAAGAACATTTGTGGATAATATACTTCTAAAAGTGATTGCTAGATCAAATTATAATCTTATGTTTATTGGTCAGATCAATTTTCTAAATGTTTGAAGCCATTCCCATTTCTATCTTCCTTCCTTCTCTATGCAGCTACTGCTCTCTTATTTGAACAAAGGGCTAAAATGAACAGCAATGACAGAGTTTTAATGGGGATGAAATGACAACACATGTGAATATATGGACGGTGGTTTGGGCCAGTATTTGGGGCTAGAATTGTACTAATGTTAGTACACGCTGAGATTTTTTTTTTTTCTCTTCTAAAACCAGCTGCCAGGGCCATCTCTCTATCTCAGCTAGACCCTAATTGGCAGATGAAAGAACACAGAATAACTCTGATAGAGAATGGATACCCCTGTGCCTCATATGTCTCACTCCAACTTTAATTGAGTGGCTAGTTTTTGAGGTTTTCCAACACTTAAAAGTGAAATTCTCCACCACTGATGTGCCTCCTGCAGTGCCCAATATATTTGGTACACCCAGATGGGGCTCTCCAGAGGATAGCTGATCAATATGGAATTATAACAAATGAGACTTCAGAGATATTTTATAGTTTTTTATCTTGTACATTAATACCCATAATGTGAGGTTCAGAGGATATTAGAAACACATACTGTCTCTTCTTCCTTTTCTCTCCTCTTCCCCGTTCATTAGTTTCCTTCTCTATGAATGCACATTAAGGAGTTGAAAGCAAAAAACTGAAATTCCACAGGAGGTTTTTGCATGTTGGCAAAGACCTCTGAGGTTTCTAGTTAAACAAATACACCTATTTCCTTACTCTCACCTAATTTCTTAAACTTCTAAGCAATTGACTTTAGATTTGCAGTTGAACAGAATACTTCATAACTATTTCTAATGTAACATTTTTGTGTATGAATTGATGCACAATTCAAACTGATGGCTCTGTATTTTTCTTGCACAAGATTGATATGTTAGTTACTGAGAGACTATTATGATTTGAAACGTTTTTTCCTCTTTACCTCAATTACTTATTAACAGTTCAATGGAATTTTGTTTCGTTTACTAATACTTTGAAATATAACACATTCTGAAATAAAGGGAGCATAATAAATTTTAATAACGTGTATTTCATGTGATCTTCACACTCCATCATTTTATGTGTTAGAAAAATAATCATAGTGGAAATACTATGTAATATCCATTGCTGTCTTCCCCTAGATTGTTGTAAATATACATTTCATACTCATAAAAAAAGTACATAAAATATATGGTTCCAAATATTACAGTTTAAAGTCAGTGAACTATCTTTTTAACATGGCTTGAAGTCTTCACCAAAAGCAACTTTTGAAATTAATTGCTCTGCCATCATCTTAACCTTTTAAAGTTATTCTTCCCCAAGGGATAGAATATTATCTTAGCAAAGAACTCTGCTTTTAGAGTGAAAGCTATAAATTTTTAGGTCCTGATCCTAATGTGGTCCAGGGTGAATAAATAGTTTTCCAAGGGGAAATCATGTGAGTCACATTAGCTTTCTAAGTGCCATAAGTTACTACTTAACATAAGAAAGAGACAATTTATTAAAGTAATACCAGAGAAGTGGTCATTTTGCTTTACTTGGGTAGTTTCATTTTCTGTCTTCATTCTCCTCCCCTTTTCTGTTCTCTACAGCGTAGTTAATTAACCCTACTTTATTATGTGATCACATTCATAAGCATTGTCCCTTCTTGCTTGAGGGCAACATATAACATCTGCCCTTCAGCATAAAAAAATATCACTCACTTTGCAAAATCTCATGACTCTAAAAGTATATTCTTAGCACAGTGTATTACAGTAAGACTTCTAATGTTACTTCCAAATTATTTCCAAACTGTCTGGCAAAATGAGTTCAATACATATGACTAAAGTCAAGTTTTTCTCCCAAATATCTTTACATGTCAATGTAAAAGTTGATGAAAATCTCTCTTAAATCGTGAAATAGCCAGCTCATCTTACATCATATTTTGCTGTTGCTAAATCTGCACCATGGCTATATCTAGAGTATTTCTACTGTACGTGCTCTACTTCTACTTCTTTTGTTTGATATTTTATTGTTGTCCACACTCAGAGATAACACATTTCTAACTTAGTTATCCATAGTACCTGATTATCTGTATCAAAGAGCTTTCTCTCTATACTTTAAGATTTCTCCCACTACTACCACCATTACTGCTCACCCATTTCATTCATTCATTCATTCATTCATTCATTCAGTGATTCATCATTTCTTGCCTTAAAAAAACTAATATAAAACATGTGCTATTTCCAGATTTTAAAGCTGTCACTTATTAAGCCAAAAAAGACAGTATAGCTGGTATTTCTTTAAAGCTCCACCTCTGTTAGAAAGTAGGTGTTCCAAACCAAACTGAACATTTGGAAATGGGTTTATTATGGATGAGAGGTAATCCTGAGAATGGATGACTTTGTTGTTTCCCAAATGGTGATCATCTTAATCATAAGAGCTATTAATCTGACTAGATGCTATTGTAATAGCTTCCCATCAGTGTTAACATAAAAGCTAATCATTCCAAAATTCAGCTAGGCCAGCTGAGAGATTTAAATACTTCATTATTGAAATGATTATCTGCAGTATTTAAACACTCGAGATATGCATTATCAATACCTTATAAATTCATATACGTATTTATAATATTTTACTGTTATCCAATATTATAAATATTGCTAAATTACAATTCTCTAATTTATTGCCCATCTATTTTCAAATTAGACATAATTTCTGAAATATTTAGTCTAAGTTATGTATTAAATATAAACACTTTATGTAGAACCAGATTCAAGTCTTAAGATCTAAAGACATAAAATTACTGACATTTTATCTTTCATCTGAATTGCGTACACAATCTACCTAAAGCGTAGAGTGTGTTATATTTTCCATAGTGCTTTAAATTGACAACTTTACTATTTCTTTTACATACTTTCATTGCTGGTCTACATATATAAGCCCATTCTTTAAATATGATTAACTTTTGTAATACATATTTTAACACAAAATAAAATAATATCAAAATAACCTAAAAACAGAGAAGAATATAAAAATATATTCTGATGATAGTCAATAGTCACCATTACTATCTTTCTGAAATTATATGTTAGAAAAGCAATACATTTACCCAAAAGGGTTTCAATTTAGTTATATAAATTTATAACTTATATGTAGTATAACAATAGCTAAGAGTTTCTAATGTTTCATTTCATAATGAGTGTTTGAGAAAAGGTTTTTAAAAAATTTGTTTAATGAATTTGTTGCTCTGTTTTGGTCACAGATTAAAAAAAAGTTGGAGACTGTGAAACAGGCCACTGTATTGATATTTTGCAGGTGTCTGCTTCATAAATGATAAAACCTTCTTCCAGGTGCTAAAAAGATATGTCAAGAAACATAAAGAAATAACTAAATACATTTCCATTCATGCATACAACTCTCTACACATAACTCGTTCTGCATTCTTCTTTTAATGGTTAATTTACTAATGAAGTGTGAATCTTTGAACACTATGTTTTTCATATATTACTAATGTATTTTTACTCCTATTTATAAAAGCTCTAAGAAAGCAGTTTTGTAAAGATATAATTTGTTGATTCTTGCTAGGTGATTCCCATCAGATTTTGTTCCTCTTTACACCTTATGTATTTTCAAGAAAGAACTAGAATTATGTGTGATATACTACAATTTATATTTACCTTCATTTTACTGTGGCCTTCATTTTACCATGGAATAGTTCTTTTGTCATAGTTTATTATATTTCCCCATGTTTTTTTTTTTAAATGTCTTCTAAGAGTTCAAAGACTTTGAAATAATCCTTGAAAAATTCTCTTTTTTATGGCAAGAAATCTAAAACTTACATGAAGAAGGTTATATTTTTTTAATGTTTCCAAGTATCAGAATTGAGTGAAAGGTGAGTAGTTGAGGTTAGGTAACCAAAAAGGTTTCCTATGAAGGATAATTTCAGATCTCTTGGGAGAAACAAATCTTCAGATATGTGTGTGAGATTTAGGAAAATATTTCTAGCTAGAAATATACCAATGACACTTATGCAAAGATGGTACAAGTATGAATCACAGGCTATTTATAAGCATTTCCTGATATTTAAATGACAAAAAGTGGCTTATATTTATCTTAATATGTATCTACCTTTCTTACTAAATACCTCTTCTCTAGTGAAATATTACTGTTGTAATATCTATTAGTAAAATATTCCATTTTTATTTTAATAAATGAGAATTTATTAATGTGTTTCTATTAATTAAAAATTAGGCCTAAGTATTGATTATATCACCCTTATTTAAATTTTGAGTTAAGGTTTTATAATAATAAAGAAAAATTATTTCATGTTTTCCTTCATTCTAAATCTGAGTGATTAATTTGGAATATATATATTTTACTTTTTCAAATTATAAAATTAATTTCTCTATAATAAGTGTCTCTATTGTGGAAATATTTAATAGTTTGAATCTTGTCCTGCCATATATTTTTTCTTTTTTAAAGGTTAAGTTTGAATTAAAATGCCAAACAATTAATGTAAAAAGTCATTATTCCTGGAAGTTTTGCAGGCAACCATGATTTATTGGTCATTTCTTTTTCCAATTCTGCTCTGTGTAGTTGGTAATGTGGTGATTTACTGGATGACATGTAGGGTTATTGATTTTTTTATTTAATTACTGTAACTTATTAATTTCTTTTTAGTCAATTATTGAGTTTTGTAGATGGATCATGATGAAAATATCCGTATCAATACCAAGTAGAGAAAAATTGTAGAGAAAGAAATGATTATAGTAACATATGGGACACTGTGAAGATAAGAAAAGTTGTAATCCACTAAGTTAAAACTTGTAGGTAGACAATTTTCAGATAACAGGATGTGAGGTAGGAATATAATTTCATGCTACACTATTTCATTTTCTTTGACAGCTACACTCCAATTCTGACAAAGGCGATGGCTCTGTCAAGTACATCCTTACTGGAGAAGGTGCCGGGACTATATTTATCATTGACGACACCACTGGTGACATCCACTCAACAAAAAGCCTAGACAGAGAACAGAAGACCCACTATGTGCTTCATGCCCAGGCTATCGACAGACGAACAAACAAGCCTCTTGAACCTGAATCTGAGTTCATAATCAAAGTACAGGACATCAATGACAATGCGCCAAAGTTCACAGATGGACCATACATCGTCACTGTGCCTGAAATGTCAGATATGGGTAAGAAAAATCATTCTTTACTTTAGCAGTTAATACAGTTTTGAGAATCCAAATAATCGTCTTGTGAAAACCAGTTTTTAGTTTTGTGTGTATGTGTGTGGAGAAATCTGAAGAAATTTCAAACACTTTAAAATTTACATGTGGCCTAAAATGTTAAAGAATTTGTGTCTAGACATTATATTATTTATTAAAATTAATCTCTGAATGTTAAAGAATAGGTAATATCAAGAGAAAAATCATTAATGGGAAAACATCTGCAATTCTTGCTTACTTGACAGGGTTTTTCACTATGTAAATTCTTTATGTTTATTGCCACAAAAGTACCAACATATTCAAGGTGACAATTTGCATAAATAAAAATAGACAATGTAATGTCTGAGATTTTTTACTACATGTCTTTTAAGCTTGCAGTTTATGACCCATTTATAATAGCATTTAAAAATGCAAGTAATAGTTGCATTCGATGAAACTTTTTTAGATACTCATAAGCATTTATATACCTTATTTATTTTAAAACATAAAGTGACCCTTAAAGTATTTTGGGCACCATTTTAAAGATGTATAAGCTGGCATACTGTATTTAGGTAATTTTCCCAAATTCATATATTTAGAGAATGGCCAAAAAAATAAATTGACACCAGATTCTCCTGGTGTCAAGGAGCCTACACTGCAGTTGGTCATGATCTAGGTCTTCAGTCATTCTGCTGATGTGGGGATTTCTCATCACTCACACATCTCTGTCATCCATGTAACTATTTTATTTTATTTTTATCTCCTATGGAAAAATTTTAAAATCATTAAAATATAGGTCAGCTATGATAATTTTTTTTAACTTTCTCTGAAAGACTCTAACCTTGGATGGAGAAAGTTCTTTTTTTTTGAGCAAGGATTTAATATATTTGAGCATACATAAAAGCATTATTTTATATGAGTATTATATATATAAGCTTATATGTACATATACATGACTCTTATTTTGAGCTAAATTTATTATAACATTAACCAAATTGTTATGTATTTAGATATGCACATAAGTGGCATTTTTTTATTTTTATTTTTAAAATGTTTTTGAGATATAACCAACATTCAGTACTGTGTAAGTTTAAGATGTAAAGCATAATATAACTTGACTTATACATGTTGTGAAATGATTACCACAAGAAGATTAGTTAACATCCTTCATCTCCTATACACATGGGTTTTTAATGAAAGATTGTAGTTTCTTTCCTTCCAAGCTCCAGCCCATTTTAGTTCTCGTAAGCTAGGCAAATGGCTCCTGAAGCTGTTGGGGAAGCAGGTGAGAAAGAGGAACCTAGTTCCTCCTTCGTGACCAGAATCTCAGGGGAGAAAGCAAGTGTACCAGAGTAGAACACAGGAATTAGCCCCAGAGAGCCTGTGGAGAGGCCCAGGAGATACTCAGGCTTATTGGTCTCCAAGGAAAGCTTCAGAGAAACTGAAGGACTCAACGCCATTAAATCTGGCAGGTGAGAGTTTGTGTGGAAACTCAGGAACAGACGCCCTTCTCTCATGTTGTCAAGGAACTGACATACCATTTGCCAATCCCTTTCTGTATTACAAAAGTGAAGAGTCCCACGATTCCATCACTTGTGATAAGGCCACTGGCAAGGTACTTCCAGGAGCCACATGGAATGACCATAACCAGGAGGCAAAGAGCCAAAGAGAAACACGGGCAGAATGGTCATTACCAAGGAGAGGAGATCACAAGAGCTCTAGTGTTGTAAAGATACTACAAGGAGATTTCTGTAACTCAAAGCCATGTTTTCTATAGTTAGTAAACAACAACAGAAAAACATGATTGAAGCATGAATAGTCATTGGTATGATCCAGATTATTATCCTGGAACTTGAGAAAATATCAGACTGGAAAAAGTAACTGAAAATCAGAAAGCAAAAATTCCCCAAATATGGGAATTATGGAACACGATGAAACTTAGTAGATATGTTCATTAGCCCTACAGTGTGAATGACATGTTCTCAGACATTAAAAAAAGAGTAGATGAAGGAGAGGAATGATATGTTTTTTCCTTGAAGTGAAAAAATATATTGAATTTACATGTTCAATAGTTTTTAGGATAGGGTTAGAATAAGAAACAATCCTAGGTAAATCCTGGCAAAGTACCTAACACATAAAAAAAAAGTTAAAATCTTATAAACTTTCAGATAATTTTTATGATTTTAATTATTTTTGAGAGAGAGAGAGTATGAGAGAGAGAGAGAGAGAGAGAGAGCACACAGTGCGGGAAGAGCAGAGAGAGAGTGGGACAGAGGAATCGAAGCAGGCTCCATGCTGACCACTGCTAGCCCAATGTGGGGCTCAAATTCAGGACATGTGAGTTCATGACCTGAGCCAAAGTATGACACTCAACTGATTGAGCCATCCAGGTGCCCCTCAGATATTTTTAAATTGCCTACGTATATATATATATACATATATATACAAACACACACATGTATATAACATTTAGAATTTGAATATATAATAATACATTTACTGTATAAATATATATTATTATTATTATATGTTTACTATATATATTATAGTATATTAGGCACTTATATATTTTACTTATATATGGAATTTAAGAAACAAAACATAGGGGAGGAAGAAAAAGAGAGAAGGAAATAAACCGTAAGAGACTCTTAGAAAACAAACTAATGGAAGGAGGTGGGTGCGGAATGGGCTAGATGAGTGATGGGTATTAAGGAGTGGACTTGTTATGATGAGCACTGGGTGGTGTATGTAAGCGACAAATCACTGAATTCTACTCCTGAAACTAATATCACACTGTATGTTAACGAACCAGAATTTAAGTAAAAATTTAAAAATAAAAAAAAAGCAAATAGGTACATTTGAGGATGCTAAGTGATACTGTACAATCTAAGAATCATGAAGCATAAGTGAATTATTGCGACATAGGCTATAGTTTGAAGACTTGGGAACAAGTCAAGGCATTTCAAAGTCTTCATCCAGGTCTTGGAGAGGAGGATGGAAATGGGAAATATTATTCTTAAGTTCTTTTACTGAGATGAGTATGGCTGAGGAAAAATATTTATTTAGTATCTGAAAGAAGTAGAGAGAAAGAAAGAACAAAACAGAGCTGTACTGCCATGGTTCTAGGCATGATTCCACTGAAGGAGGGGAAGAGGGAGAAGGTGGGAGAGAGAGAAGTGAGAGAGAACTCACTGGGGAAATATAGATAAAAAAATAAGCATCATCACAGCATCTAATGTATGTTTTAAGATGGATGTATAGATGGTGATCTGAAAACTAGTGGAGGGAGAAACTCACTTTTACATCATGTGCTTCAGAATGGGTAATATTTTCATTGATGCTGATCTTAAAATAAAAAGCTAGTAGTATTGTATAGGCGGGACCAGCAGACAGTGGCAGGGGAAACAAATGCGGCCTGCTGTTTGTTTCTGTCAATAATCTGTAACTGGAATACAGCCACACCCACTCATCTCAGTAGCACCTCTGGTAGTTTGGGCTCTCCGACGGCAGAGTTGAGAAGTTGCAACGGAGACCATTTGACTCACAAAACCTAAACTATTTCCCATGTTACCTTTTACAGAAAAAGTTTGCCAACTCCACTGTAAGGGCTTTCAGAGGAAAAGCCTGGAGGCAGGGGGGTAATATTGCGGTTCTGATAACGAAGGCATCTGCTGATCCAGGACAGTAGTGTTCTGCCAGCCCTGCTGAATAAACACATGCGCGCCAAAATACGTTCTTTGTTGGAAAGAGTAGGGTTGTGCTTCTTCCCTTTAGGTAGACACTGGTCGTGCCACTAATAATTAACTTGTCCTTCCATGTTACTGCAGATCTGTTTTGTTCAGGGGACACTATGCAGAATTCGGTATTCACCACCACCCCTCCCTTTCATCTAGAACGGACCACGTGACCTGAACCTTCCTGGTAGGATGTCAGTGGAGGCCAGTTGGGTGGGCTACCAGGAAATAAATAGGTTTCCTGACAAGAGGACATAGTGACACACATATTTCACCCACTGCCATTTTGCTTTCCTGCTGCCCATAATGGGCATGGATGGGTCTGGAATTGCAGCAGCCACTTGTACCATAAGGTTGAAAGCCTCTTGCTGAGTGAGATGGAGCAGAAAATTAAGAGTCTGGAAGAATGATGCTGTTTGCAGACCTGATGCTCTAACCCTGGCCTGCCAATCCCAAGACCATTATTATTATTTATTTAATGTTTATTTATTTTTGAGAGAGAGAGAGAAAGAGAACCAGTGGGGATGGGGCAGAGAGAGAAGGAGAGAACAACTCTGAAGCAGGATCTGCGTGTGCTGATAGCACAGAGCCCAAAACTCAGCATGAGATCATGACCTGAGCTGAAATCGGAAGCTCAACCCACTAAGCCACCCAGGTGCCCCCCCAATGACCATTCTTAACAAAGTAAACCTGTTTCCGTTTGAACTCTTTTTTTTTTTTTTTTTTTTTAATCTCAGACAAATGCAGCTACATTGAATCTGAATTGGTAGTTGGACAAATTCTAGATTTAACATGGACCCAGAAAACAAAGTGTTGAATGCAACGCTGAATCCAAAGGGAGAGGGAGAATGTTTTCAGCATCAAATAAGAAACAGTGATGTCATATTCCATTGAGTGTCCTTATTTGAGAATGACACATGAAACCATCACTTCTTTCCCTTTCTGTGTAGTTGGGATGCTAAATGATTTCACTATGGCAGCAATTTTCCTTTTTGCCTCTGATATAGCTAATAGTTGATTTCAGATATTTAAATCTTACTTACCATATAGTGTAGAATCAGTTGAATCCATAGAAGTTTTGATCAGTGGGAAAAAGAAATTGGATATTTTGAATGTTGACTGTGAGTTCTGCAGAAAATCTAAAATCGATCACCCAAGCAACCAGTTATTTTTGGCAGGACGGGAGACTACAAAGACATCAAAGCAGTTGTGATAATGATTACTGAAACACCATCAAGGAGTATTTATTGAGCC